TCCTCCTATCGGTATCTACCCTCTCGAAGAAACATTTAAGAATTCCCCTGTACCATATCTGCCTCGAATCTTGGCCAACAACGAACTAGTTATAAATGAATTACATCAATCTTTACTTGAATGAATCAAATTTCGGAGACATTTTTTACACAACACTATTGGATTTGTCTATATTTCTCCGGTCTGACGACCAGTATACAATTTTTAACTGAATTATAGGCATTATTAATCTTGCAAAAGTTCTACCAATACAAACCTTTATTCGTGGGATTGAGGTACTGTGTTCCACCGAATTTACTGTATTCATTCATCACTTTCAATGAAAGCTGACCGAAACTTGAAGTTGCATTTCACTCTGACACCAGTTCATTTTCCAACCAAATCTTCAGGTTTTTCGTCCCCAATATCTTACGGCTCGTTCTGCTTTTATTCTTTGTTGATATCTGTCGGCTACTCACGATCAGTAATTTTTTGCTAACAACCCTTTGTCTCTCCCAATAATCAAGGTTGAACAACGCCGGTGGAAAGTGGATGTGAATTCCGCCCTGTACGGGAACTTGGCTTTGGCTAATGTAAAACTACCCGGAGGTGAACTGCGGCGCAAATCGGAAGATGATGAACGTGCGATGCGTTCGTTTATGAAGGTCAGTTAATGTGAACAATCCAGCGACTATCGTTTGTAGCTGTGCCAAATCCACTGTGATATTTTATCATCCTTGATCCTTTCTTTTACAAGGGGTTTAAGATCGCTCTGTGGTGATTGAATCACATCATTTTGATTGTGAATCAGCATCTGTGCGAAATTTTTCCTGCAACCGTTCGATTTGTCCGAACGGATCAATCTCATATGATCTGATCTCCAAGCTAATCGGTTCTACCGCTCTGTGCTTACCGCCCACGGCGTAGCTTACTTTCAAAGTTTTCCAGTTAAGTCAAGTAAGGCTTCATGGCTTCATGGATGAATTTTCAGCATTTTCGACAAGTTCCAGTGAGGAAAACGTTAAGCATCGGAAAAAGAAGAAATATTCATTTAGTAACTGGAAAACAAACGGATTAAATAAAATCCTAATGTGACAGATGATTGTTCAAGTCAGTAATAATATTTACTCGGTTGACCAAGATACGAGCAAAATAAGGGATCATGCTGTTTTTGTATGTGGTGGTGCGTGCACAAAGAATCCGAAATTGGGAACGGGTACTCGGATGGGACACCAATTTATTGGGATAGGAGTGCAGACAGTGTTCTTCATTGGACAGGATATGGGTGATAAATCGATCACATGAGTCCAAATGCTTGCTCACAATAAAGTCAACCAAAACGGTCTTTGAAATCGGTAGATGAAACCATATCTCTAAGTTTGGGTAAGTTTTCAGGAGTGCGACTTCTTCTGATGGTTCTGGATGTGGAACGGTTCATATGGTGATGAAAATATTTACCGTAAATCGGGATACGAAAAATAGAGCAATGATCGGAGCTACCTAATGGAGCCCGCTTCTCAATGAAAAAGATTTCGGGGCTATTTACAAAAATCCCGTCAAGTTGAACAACAAGCCGGGTAGGAAAATTTACAAGATTCTTCAAGCCAAAAGTTGTAAGGAAAGATATATTAAAACGATTAAAGTCATCAGCACCAATGCATAAAACTGATCTAAACCGGTTACAAATTGCAAGGAGTCGACAAAGAGACGAATATCAGAGGCAGGCGTTTCGGGAGCGATGTAAATGTTCGCTTGAGGAATGTGATGAAAATGACTTATAAATCGGGGCTTACAATAAACAAAAATACAATTTATTATGGGAGTATTAAATTGGAAACATTTACGAGCGTTTTTGCCCCATTTCCTATTGACGAAAGTGACCACTCCATCACCTCTGTGTAGGAACTTCACATTACGATCGCCTCGGAATATGTCAAATCCATCAAGATGCACGACGTTGTCCTCAATATCAGGATGTAGCCAGCTTTCCTGGAGTAGAATTGCCCCCACATTCTTGCATTCTTTCTGCTGTATCATCATCGAGTTTCCCCCTAAGCGAACGAATGTTACATGAGATAATAGACGGAACGGTCAAATTATCAACAAAACGCCGCCTGAGCGCCACACGTCAGCCAGCACGGTGTTTTTTATGGTGTCCTTGAACAGATTTTTGCAGTCGTTTGAAGCGATTTCTCACAGAATGGGCAAAAATCATAAATTGATGTTTCTGCGCGATAAACCTCAAGGATTTCAAAAATCTTGCGTTGTAGGATAACATTTGACCTTGAGAATATAACGAGTTGATTCAAAAGTGATGACCACGCTTTCCTCCACTGCAAGTTTACGAAATAATATTCCACGATAATGAGGCACGGCCAAATTCAAAGGCCCCGCGCATCCGTTGCAGTTATTCCGTCTTTGTTGTCTGGGGGGAACTCGTTGTACCCAGTTCTTCTTACCGTCACGTTGTATCCAATTTTGTTGTCTTATCACAAACCTCATGTATCACCGGCACCATTCGTCTGTGTTTTGCTGTGGGATAATGATAATGATGACAATGATCATGTGAATAATGAATGTCCTGGTATGATCTTTGATTCGTTTTTTCCAGGAAGGTGATGTAATTGTGGCTGAAGTTCACGAGGTTTACAAAGATGGCACCCTACAACTCCACATGCCTGGTACTCGCACCGGTAAACTAGGTGGCGGATGCTTCCTGCGTATCCCACCAAGTTTGGTCAAGCGACAGAAGATCCATCGCCATCGATTGGCCATCCGCCGAACTGTATCCGCAGACTCTGTCCATTCAGGACTCTCCACTTCCGGTTCGGTTGATGTAGTCCAGGTCGGTTTAATTCTCGGCTGTAATGGCTACGTGTGGATAGGTCCGGCGCGAGGCATGGACATTGGTCTCGGTCTGACCGCCGCCATTGAACCGCATGGAGATCCATTGGCAAACGAGACCGGACGACAAGAATACCTAATGGAACGCTTGGCTGTCGCCCGTGTACGTAATTGTATCTTGGCACTCACGCAGCACGGAATGTCCGTTTGGGAAACCAGTGTTTTGACCGCTTGTGAAGCCAGCTGGTTTACTGAACAGCCCGGAGATACGGACGATGACGAGGAGTATGAGGACGTCGAGATGGAGCACGCAGATGACGTCATGAAATCCGCGACGAAGGCAGACGCGGTTCAGCGTCATCGAAATCGTATCGCGCGATTGCTTCGACCAGATTTATCCCGACGCTTGGTTTCATTGGTTCAGGCCAAAATTGGATCTGTTAGTTAACTGACGGTTTCATTTGACTTGTGTAAATAGAATAAAACCAAACTTATTTTATGCTTCGAACGCCATTTTCCATGGCTTCCTATGGTTTAGTTACAGAATGTGGTGCATGGATTTATGTTTATTTAAATCAGGTAGAGATTTCGCGGAGGCTGATGACGCTTTAGTCCTCCAGAACAATAACCCACAAATCCTTCTCGTCTGCGTCGCAGTAATGGCCGAATCCAAAGACGTATGGTAAACGATCTCTGTAACGCAATGTTGCAATCTTACGTCTCTCAACGGCGAAATCTGTTGGTATGCCATCGCTAAGCTGTGTCGAGTGTTTCATGTAGTGTTGCATAATCTTCGGGACGTTGTACTGTTCTCTGTGTTTCGGCGTCGTCAGCGGATGTTGAAGTTTGTGACCCACGAATATATGATAGATTGTTCACAGAGAGTCATGTCAAGTATACGCTTTATGCACCCCGAGAGGGGAGTATTCATCGCCTACATAGTCAAAGTAGAACCAATAAGCAAGTAAAATTTCAAAAGAATCGTGGGAAGCGAGGATAAAACAAAGCAGTTTACGATATGAGTGAGTTTGCTCCAGAAGCAATACGTTCCGGGTTACCGAGAGAGCAAGAAAGAGGAGGCAGGCGGTTGTGCGAGAAAAAATACAGTTACAGCAGAATCGGGTAGATCTTTGTGGGTACCAAAAGACAACTTCGTATGTTGAAGTGACAGAGAATTTCACGGGAAATCCCGCTAATTTTTGATAAATGTGTTGGGAATTTGGAGAGTAAATTAAATCCCCTTCTTGAGCATCCATGAGGGACCAGTAGAGCCAAAAGGCCAAAACACAAGGAAAAAAAACGGTGAATGAAAAGGCGAGCGTGGAACATAAAATGTAACTTTTCTGACCTTTCCAGACAGAAATACTTTGGTCAGACCAGTATTTGCGTGTTAGATAATGGTGTCATCTCGTATGTTTCTCGTAGGACAGGATTCAAAGGGACTTGCATGGCGGTTCGCTCTGAGAAATGGGAGCAGCATATCTACACAGTTAGAAGGATTGAGAATTAACTTGTGTGCAGTGAACCACTCAGCAAGGTTAGAAAGGCCAAATCGATGGGTGGAAGTGACAGACTCATCAGGGTGAGCGACTCCGATCACAGCATCATTCACGTATTTGGTAAGCAGCGAATTTTGGAAAGCAGGCATGGATGAGATCTAAGTGGGAGAGAAAAACGAGGACTGAATAGTGCTCTGCGATAAATGCTAAAAAGCGTGGATCGTACGTATTCATGAGAAACACCACAGACTGCACCAATCTGTACTTATAATAAACCATTAACTCTACCTGTCGTAGTACGATTTCAAAAAATCCATGAATCCAACTCAGGATCAGTCCTTGAACACCATAATTATAGAGCTTTCGCAACAGTACCTGGTAGTTCCTTCATTCAATAGCTTTGGAGAAGTCCACACTGCCTACTACTAGTGTTGTGAGTAGTATGTTTAGATTGCGCAAAAGAACGGTCGACAATGAACAGTCCCTTCTAGAGCAAATTACTGTGCTCAAAATGGCAACTATGAAAAATACTCATCCTCCATCATTTGTCATGTGCTCTTGTGGAGATTCTGAAGACTTGTTCCAAATGAGATGCTGTTACATGTAAACCAAGTTACCAATCCTCTTACAGTTATTCGCAATAAACAACTATCATTATCTCAGCATCACGTTGTGGAATTATCGCACTACCACCTCCCTATATTGGCTGTTCTCGCCCACTCATCTTGTGCAGGTAACAGATTTGTGGTGCACTAATATTTCTGTCGAAATACTCGTTGAATTGGTGACAAAGCTTTATGTTTTCGCAATACCCCATCAGGTACAATTGATTCCATTGCTTCTGAAAGAACGGGAAGTGTGATTGTTCGCTGGTTTTGGAGATCACTTTGGCAACAACTAACTTTGTAAGTGGATGAAATGACACTGTCACCAAGACATAAGAACTGTCGTTTTATCGAAAATTTCCTGGTATATGTTAGCCATCATTTCAAGTAAGTTGTTTGCCAAGGAGGTCAGAGTCTGCGTCCGTATATTGTCTTTCAACGAGGATGAATCTTATGCAGCGCCAACAGTTGTACTTTTACTGTGGCAGTCGCAAAGTTGACGTTAGTCCGTTGAGTCGATGGAATACATGATCGAATACATGCAAGCTCTAATTTCGCGAATCCAGCGGGTTCAGACGTAGTGGTGGAAGCGCGCCCGGGTTGCCTGAGTGCTGGTGTTCCATATTTCACTTTTCTGATGGCCATAAGGCACTTGAATAAGAACTTTGAATTAAAAACAAGTTTCTGTTGCACAAGCCTAACACTAAACTCACGTAATTATCCCAAATATCGGCAGTTAAGAGAAATCCTTTTGCTATCCATTTCTCTGTTTATTTGCAAAAAGGTAACAATTGCGTAGGTGATCTAACGATAGGCTTTTTCATTGTTGTAGTCCTAATTGCTTCGGTTAGATTGTACATGAATCGGAACCAGGACAGTATTGGATCAAATTCCTCTCCCGAGAGAGTTCACTGCTTGAATGTCGCAAGGTTCTGCAATTTTCTGTGGTCAATAGGAGTCTGAAAGTGCAGATGAGCAATAGGCGACACCAGTCATATAATACTCAGCTTCGGTGAGCACCAAAGTATGCTGAAGCATGTATCAAGAAGATCGAAGGGTTCATATTGAAGACTTACGAAAATATAGCAGGACACTCGCAACTCATGCAATAGGATCACGTTTTATCAGTTTTCCAAGTAGGCACAATTCCGATTCAAATTTAAAGGCCTTCAACCAAGTTTCGGTAACACTAACGTAATCTCACTGTCCAGTTCACAAGTGCAACGCGGGAACTTTGCTCAGAAAACAGCGGTTTTGGAATCCGTTTGCGTTCTGTCGGGGAAGTCTAACCTTATCGTGAGAATTCTCACAGCATTCGAAATGGATTGGGATCAGTCACCAAGGTGAGGACGTGGCCGTATTTTCACCATGGTATTGGGAGCGTGGGCGCCAAAGTACGGCAACCTGGTTTGTGCATTTGCTCCATCGCCGCCCGAGTAACCTCCATTCCGAACAAATGTCTATGAAGACAGTGATCAGCTCCATAAATACCACACGTTTGTTCCTTACTCAATCCAGCCTTTAGTTGATACTACCGATAGAGACTCCCACCGTTTTAAACTGTCTTTTAACTAGGATTGTTGGGATATGCATTGTGAGATCAGGTTTGATGATAGTTTAGCTAGATCACCGGTACAAATCATTATTTTTGCTGCCCACTCTTTGGTCAGTTGCCTTTATTTATTTTGAGACTGGATTCGATTACTTCGGGTGGGAGTAGATGAAGAGGAATTAGGTGTGAGAAAGGTAGCTTGTTAGCACCGTCTTTTAGTTGTGGATACCATTTAGCCTCAATGCTCAGCAGAGGTCTGAGAAGCTATTCTACTAGCAATCTATTATTATACCATTCCTGTTAGACCGATTTGAGTTTTTCTAGGATGTTGGGGGCTACTTAAATGATACTCGAGTCTTCGGTTATCCAAAGCCCGACTTGCAAGGCAGCGATGAGTGTGGTAATTGCAGTATGAGTAGTACGTACTGAAAACGGAATGCGAATCACGGATGAGGCGTAAGCACTCGACCACACTGGTACTTGCATGCAACCGAGACGCGAGGAAAAGGCCACAGGAGCAGTAGTTCGTTTATTGAAAGAAATAAGGAGGATTAAGTAATAAGTACAAAAAAAATTGATTGGTCATCCGGACCACTGCCAATCGCGTTCTAGTATTTCTGGCGTTGTTCAGCTTCCGTCTGGGCCGCACGGTTTCTGATTGACTGGTATAATCGACGTATGGTATGTAGTCCAGAAGCTATGGTACGCACGCGATTTGCTGACGTCACTCGTGTAGCTTGATTGATCGCAGTTGTCCGAAAACTGTAATGTGTCGCTCCAAGGTATGCGTCATCTCGCAGGCTGGGATCACCACACGGCGATATGTGAAAAGCGCAATCCATTACGGGCTGGATTTCAGGTCGTCAAATCACACCTTTTGGCGGCGGTCAAATCTCTAAGGTGCACAATTAAGCCGTTGGTCAGTGCCAAAACTAGGAAGGTTTGTTCGGTTGTGATTGATAAGGGTCAACCGATTTAGATTGCTGTCACAGTTGTGTTACTAGCTCTAAGTGCTGAGATTTGAAACCTCCCAACTGTAATGGTTGGGACGTTCGCTGTGCTCCGGGCTCGAAATTGCCCCTTATCCTATTAGAACCTTATGTTATTCACCACTTGACATCCTCGAGTTTAGGTTGCCTTGTCTAGGAGAATAACAATAACTGCTCGTGACCGCGTGATTTGACTAGGCCAACTGGTTTTATCACACAGTTGTGTAATACCATCGTCGTGCAGTGAGATACAGTGGATCGAACTTCAATGATCGTCGTTGAGCTCGCAATACGCCCAAACTACGTTCGAATGAGACAGGGGAATTAAGAATGAGCCAATGTTTTAAATGGACGAGAGAAAAAAGTGAATCCCTGAGTACACAATTTAACTGTGCATATACACTTTTTAAATCATTCAAAATCACAAGAATGTCAGTACTGTTGGTTCACCTCCAACAACCAGTTGAAGAGTCCTTTGTACCCCAGTATGCAAAGTGAGGGACACCCATTCTGTCTATTCTTTCATCTCTGTGTACCTCATCGCTACGTTATCTTTTGATCTCCACATGATTTTGTTCAAATATGGTTCGAAAAATTTCCAAAAATGCAAGTCACATAATATGCCTGTTGTTGTAATGCAAACACAGGGTAGGCGAGTACGTGTTTGACGGTTCTATTCTCACACCTACTAAAACAAAACGAGAAGTTTTCTATGTATATCGATCTGAAGTTAAACGCGAGAGGGGAAATGTGAAATACAGTTTCGAGCTTTGGCAATTCCAGAGGTCACCAGTTCATCCATC